AACGGCACATAATCTGTGTATTTAGTAATAATGGCACATATAATCTGTGTATTTAGTAATAATGGCACATATAATCTGTGTATTTGATAATAATGGCATATAGTCGTTGTATTTAGTAATAATGGCACATATAATCTGTGTATTTGATAATAACGGCACATATAATCTGTGTATTTGATAATAACGGCACGTAATCTATGTATTTGATAGTAACGGCACGTGATGTCTGTATTTGATAATAACGGCACGTGATCTGTGTATTTGATAATAACGGCACATAATCTGTGTATTTAGTAATAATGGCACATATAATCTGTGTATTTAGTAATAATGGCACATATAATCTGTGTATTTGATAATAATGGCATATAGTCGTTGTATTTAGTAATAATGGCACATATAATCTGTGTATTTGATAATAACGGCACATATAATCTGTGTATTTGATAATAACGGCACGTAATCTATGTATTTGATAGTAACGGCACGTGATGTCTGTATTTGATAATAACGGCACGTGATCTGTGTATTTGATAATAACGGTACATAATCTGTGTATTTGATAATAATGGCACGTGATCTGTGTATTTGATAATAGTGGCACAAATAATCTGTGTATTTGATAATAACGGCACGTAATCTGTGTATTTAGTAATAATGGCACATATAACCTGTGTATTTGATAATAATGGCATATATAATCTGTGTATTTGATAATAACGGCACAACAGCTTATAGTTTTAAGACCCGGATGTTTATTGCCTTACTAAAATCAGACCGTTTGTAAATAACATATTATGTATATCGTCATATAATAAAATAATTTTTTATCAATATTTCAATTTTAGAATCACTGTGCATCATGATGTGCATGGTAATGTTCACTGTTCTGGACATCACAGACAAACGTTATAAATTACCGTCACTACAAATGTAATTACGGTAGAATACAATCATAATGTATTCACGTTTAAACAATGGTTCTGCAAAATACTTTATTTTCGCTTGGAATTAATTTTCGCTCTTTCCGCCGAAGGAATGATTCAGCGAATATACTTTTTTCCTATTTTTTACTTTCAACTTGTCAAAAATCAGTGAAAATAGAATCCACACAAAACACCCAAAAAGTCTTTTATAGCGGAAATTAATTGCAGGTAAAATAAAGTATTTCACAGTATCTGAATTGAACAAGATGGTACTCCATGCCTCAGGGGTACAAAGGTTTACTTGACATTAACGATGTAGATACGACATGTCATCATATAAGTCCGATGGATATTTGTTGTGTTTTTGACAAATTACCTTAAAGTTATATCTGAAAAACATTTAAAATGATTTAGTATTTTAGTATAGGTTCAAATTTTAAATATGTAATATTTATTAAAGAAAAGCCGATTACGCGTACCACGTCATAGTACTTGACAATGACGTGAACCTAGAGCATTTTTACTCAATGTACAAATCAGGCTACAGTAACTAAAATACTCAAAATGATGTGAATAAACCACTACAGTTTTGATTCAATATAGCAATTCTTCAAACTATCGGGGTGGGTACACCTTATACCCAACCACTCTCAATTAACGGTTTTGACTTTTGCTCCTTTGCAAAATGTTCCCTTGGCAATACCGTATTGTTTAGTGCAGGGAGGTCGTGTTTACAAGTGAGAAACAAACACAGATAAAAAAATACGGTAAATGCATTAGAAAAAACAACACAAAATGACTAAACCTGAGTGCCCGAGGGCGACGAAAGGCGCGTTTTGATAACATTACAAACTTTTCAAGTGCGCGCCCTGCTTCGACAACATTCAACTTTAAACACGGAGATAAAAAAAAAACGGTTTAAATTTCTGTCTTGGCAATTGGTAGCTTTTAATTGTATGGTGGCGCACGTGAAGTGGTCAATTCTTGTGTTGGCTACGATGTGACGATTGAGCATTGACAGCAAGACTGTATTTCCATTATTGTGATTGGTTTACATAGCCATATCATATTGCCTATAGGCGTGGTGCATTTAAAACACAGCTGTCAATATCGTTACGAGGCTAACTGTGGGGGTTGTAATCGTCCCGAGGGCCGTCCCACGCATATAATTTAGACTAGCCAAACTTTGTATAAGGTTCGCTTTCTTCTACCAATGACTCCGCAATCACTCGTGGAGTTAGTATAGTGAGAATTGGATGAGCACAGTCACCATGAGTTGTATGGACGTGATGTATCAATCGCCGTACCAAACTTATCAGCCATATCCCTTCTATCAGCATCATCACTTACCGACACAGGTTAACATTCAACCATAATTTATTTGATTTTGGTCATCTGCATTATTTTTTTACTTACTTGTTATAATTTTGTTTTTATCGGTAACGCTCCATTGCAAACCGAGTAGCGGCGGCTGATAGCGAGTCGATACGAGGTGGTTACACAGCTGTGGGCGTTTTTATCGAACCAGCGATGTGTCGTGAAATTTCAACACTGCAAACTATTCATTTTGTGAATTCTTTCTTTTTTTCTCTGTATGTCACAGAAATTTGGGCACTATAAGATGCACGAGCCGCTTGAGTCAGTCGAATACACTGGCAGTGTTTTGGCCCAGCCTTTAGCAGCGGCACCTAGCATATCGGCACTGACAATACCAGCAGTGACTACGCAACAACATACACAAAGAGATAAGCCAAAAGACGAAGAAGAATCAGATTCAGACAAGGAAGCCACTACACCGGAAGCAGAGTATATCAGCTCGCGTTGTGTGCTTTTTACATACTTCACTGGGGACATTGGCAAACATGTAGACGAACATTTCAGTCGTGCTCTTAGTCAACCCACCAGTTTTACCGCCACGGATAATACTAAACATGCAAGCAGCTCACAATGGAAAACAGGTGAGAATTTTAATCGTGATTACATGATGTTTTGTCTACATTTGCGGTCTACCTGTATGAGGACGTGACGATGTGCATGAGTGTTTGCTCTCATACTCTGTCTGCATACACCGTATCTAACCAGTCAGGTGGCAAGAGCTGTCGGTATTATCCTACATTTTGAAATCTTCTATTTGTCACTTTCCCACGGGCAGTCAAATTGAACTCACACCTGGATTTCACCTCTTTTGCTATTGGCTGTGTGATACCAGTGTTCCACTAGCGTACAGCTGTTCTTAAATTGGTTTTTACTTTTCTCAACATTGTGGATGCCAAGTTAGTTGTGATAACGACGGGGTGCAAAGTTAGATTATGGGTACATTCAAAACACCAGTAAATGCCACGCGTGTTGGACTTTCTCAACAATAATGTACTTTTAAAAGTTTATTTTACAAACATTAGAATACGATGTCTGGCTGATTGAGCAGACAGGGACAATAAATAGATCGAGGACGGAAAAAAAAGAAACTTTAGGCAATAGTATCTACTGCCCAACTTCCCTAGGAGACTGGTAGAATACATGAGATGCATTCACTTGACTGACTTGTTCAGTAGCCGCGAGGAGTTTTCAAAGTAATTGCCAAAACTCGTCCGGTTTTTCCTCTCGTTAAACAGTGAATAACGTTGCATGTGTTTTTGATAGCTTAGTAATTGAACCACCGACCCAGAGGAAATGGGTGGAGTGGCAAAACATATGAAACATATATTTTTTTCTACAAGTCGGAGAGAATCTGGGTTCTGCCAGTTAGTAAAATAATAATTATTTACTGGCCAGTGGTACGGAACGGTGAAATGTACAAGACATTAGAGTGAAGCAGAGCGTTGACAATTTACCAAGAGTCTGCTCATTTTATTTACAAGTAATAAATTAACATTTTAAATCAAATACAACGCATCAATTTATCTGAAGTCTATTTAAGATTTGTCTTCAAATGTGTCCGAATGTATTGATGGGATTCAGATCCAATCACGCCAGGGCGTACTGTCGTTCAGACGAGAACAATAAATACAACATATACAGGAAAAATCTATATACAAGTTAACCATGGGAAATCCCAGCAAGAAAATTCATCTGTTTAAAAAGTAATGAGTATTTCTCATTGCCAATTTGATTAGCATTTGACTAGGGAAAAGAGATATTTCAATGGCTGGTACTGCACTGGTATGTATCAAGCATATATCCCGGTGTTGTCAGATGCAACACAGAACAATTTCATACGACCAACAAATTCCTGATGGATTTGTTTTGCACTATGATTTATAGCTAAATCAACATATTTTACATTGGATGGTTTGCATCTAGTGACGGTGTACGATTGGAATCGGCGCTGAAAATGGAGATAAACTTGAAAACGGTACTGAAGGTGCAGATAATATTGAAATCAACACGGAAAGACAGACCCTGCAAACTTTATAACATGTACCTATCATCTTAGTTGAAGTCAGTAAATTACCCGTATGTGAGATACATTAATTACAATTACCTTGTCCATTGCTTACAGGTGATTTCTCGCCGATGAGTCAAAGAAATTTTCCTCCTTCGTTTTGGAACAGTACATATAGCACGAGTAGCTACCCACACCACGATACTTTGCCATTTAGGGACCCTTATACGGCGGCATCGACGTACTCAGCCGCCTCCTATAGCAGTCTACATCAGGCTACAGACCCATGGCATTACTCGTTATCAACACAAAGTTCGTATTCTGCTACCGCTGCTCATCGTTCTATGCATGATCTCAGCTACACTATGGCATCGGGGAGCCCGTTTAATACCCGATACAGCTCTCTGTTAATACAACCTTCGATGAGAACGAGCAGACTAGCGGGACAATGTGATTTATCCAAGGCCGGTGACGCCTGGTCCTCGCGTTATGGAGAAGCATTATCAAGTGACTCTGTATCGGCACTCAATGTAGACACATCTGCCTCTGGTATGTATTTTATTTGGTATATGTAGAATTGTGCCTCCTTTTTCATAGGCATTTCAGCTACGATATTTGTGGGTGTTAAAAGGCCATTTTATTTCCATGGGTGTTTGACCAGTGCTAAATAGTTGGCATGCCGGATGGGATATGCGGTAAGCACAGCTACACATGCATAGTACCGGCTGGGATACCCTCGCGAAGAAAACGAATTAAAATTACTCATCACCGTGAACTGAAAAAAAAAGTATTTTTAGAACGCATGCATAATACAGCTTTACAAATTATTTAGATTGTTGATTGGGAATTGTTTTGTTAATCTGGTTTACAATATTAAATACTATATATTTGCGGATGTGCTCTGACAGTATCATGGAAGATATCATCTAATACATGTCTATATACACGTTAACACCAAATCTGTGTAGCCATAACTGTGACAATCCTTATATGAACACAAAACTATTATTTTGATTATTTATTCAAGTAAAATGACCAGTCTATGTTGAATTAATATATAGTAGCAATTGACATGCCTGGCAGGCCGTGCGTTCTAATCGGAATGCGCAACCGACTATACCTAAATATTTGCCAAAACGACAAGTATTTGCCGGGTGAATAGTTGGGTGTTAGCACTACTTCGCTGTATCGAGTACCACAACGCTACTGTGTCCATCCCACATCTACATATAATAACCACCATCGGTGTCAGATATGCTGTGATAAAACAATAGTCTAATTTTTAACTTTTTGAATATTTATTGATTTTTTTTTAAATGTATACAAAATGTACCGCTTGTACGTGTAGCGATAACACCGTAATGCAACACATAATATCTGTTGTCAAAAGTGTGGCAACAAGAAACGGTCAAAGGATCTGTTGGATGGTGACAAGTGGGATGGTGTGGGGTGTCGGAATACATTTTTACTTACCACTTATCGGGTAGGGTCAGCTTTGAAATCAAACACAGACGGCAGGGGGTAGGAAAGGCGAATCGAACTTAAGTCGGGAAAGGGAAAGTTGTTACTTAGTTTCAATATTTAAATGTTGTACACATGAAGGAACTGGAGCCGGAACTTTCATTTATAAAAGTAATACCGGAAAAACGTCTAACGTAATATTTAAATTATAACCATGATTTGGTGTCACTCGATTAGTATTTATTGCGATTATTAATAACTGAAATACTTGCGAATTATAGTGAATGAGGGGGCGCTGTTCCTTAATATGTAACCCTTGTGTAACAATCGTCTCCATTTGTCAAATTCGAACCCCGGGCCTTGCACAAGTCAGTAGCACAGTAGTCAAAATAAAATGTCAGTACTGTTTTAGGTCAAATGTGTCAACACAACACATGGTACTGCCAGTACATGATGGTAACGGGTGTTTTCAGTTCAAGTACCATCGGGGCAATTTTGTTTTTTTGGTTTTTCCCTTGCCATTTTCATTATTTTTGGTGTTATTATACCCCCTTGAAATCCGTTCGTGAGATTGTGATACCAAACAATAAAATAACATAAATACAATGAGAAAAAAAATATTCAAAATAATATTTAATATATGTAGTAGTAATAGTGATGTCAGTGACATGGCTTAAAACGATATAGTGCTGTCAGTGACATGGCTTAAAACGATATAGTGATGTCAGTGACATGGCTTAAAACGATATAGTGCTGTCATTGACATGGCTTAAAACGATATAGTGCTGTCAGTGACATGGCTTAAAACGATATAGTGCTGTCAGTGACATGGCTTAAAACGATATAGTGATGTCAGTGACATGGCTTAAAACGATATAGTGCTGTCAGTGACATGGCTTAAAACGATATAGTGTGTCAGTGACATGGCTTAAAACGATATAGTGATGTCAGTGACATGGCTTAAAACGATATAGTGCTGTCAGTGACATGGCTTAAAACGATATAGTGATGTCAGTGACATGGCTTAAAACGATATAGTGCTGTCATTGACATGGCTTAAAACGATATAGTGCTGTCAGTGACATGGCTTAAAACGATATAGTGCTGTCAGTGACATGGCTAAAACGATATAGTGCTGTCAGTGACATGGCTTAAAACGATATAGTGCTGTCAGTGACATGGCTTAAAACGATATAGTGATGTCAGTGACATGGCTTAAAACGATATAGTGATGTCAGTGACATGGCTTAAAACGATATAGTGCTGTCATTGACATGGCTTAAAACGATATAGTGCTGTCAGTGACATGGCTTAAAACGATATAGTGCTGTCAGTGACATGGCTTAAAACGATATAGTGCTGTCATTGACATGGCCTAAAACGATATAGTGCTGTCAGTGACATGGCTTAAAACGATATAGTGAT